TCTGGTTTATCCTCCTCTTCTGCATCCGAAGCTGATGCCACCTTCAGCTTCATAACAACTGGACCTGCACCCGGTCCAATGCCACGCCCTTTGCGAAGAAACGTCTTGGTTTCCTGGAGAGTAGTGACTTGCTTTGGAGCTGGAATCCGAGAGAGAGCCTGTTGCGCTTGTAGAAGCTTGAGGGGTGTGAGAATTTGGCTGTCTGCATTCGATGTCGTAAATAGAGTCTTCCGCTTCGGAGGAGTATCTGACTTAAAATCCGATGGCACAACCCCGTTGGACTCCAGCGGTAGTACCTTGCTTGCAGATTTCGGGCGAGTAGAATTCACACCGGGTATTTTTGAGTTCTTCGCAGGTGCTACCTTACTTTGCTGCACAGCTTGAGGAGTTCGCACTGACGGCCGCGTGTTCTCTTTTCTCAACTCTGATAATGAAGGCATCGAACGGCTTAGCGGGTTGTCAGACATTCCGGATGGCCTACGTTGACTTGATGCTACCGTGCTCCTTGGCAGCTTTGGGGAAGACGTTGAATTACGAGCGCTCGGTCCAGAGACGGGCTTTTGCGGACCCGGCGAGAGCTTTCTTGCTGCTCTAGGCCTCGGCTCAGGAGGAAGCTGCTGCCTAGTAGCCCGGGGTGTCGACTGTAACGATGACACTGTGGGACTGCTCCTGCTGGCCGTAGTCGTTCTTCCTCCCTGCAGCATTGCCTGCAAGAAACTGGTTAGAAATCCTCACGTATACGTATGCACGCAAATGATCACCTTTCTAGAAGAAGTAGACTTCACAACTTGCCGTTCGTTAAATTTCTCCGACGATCGACCTCCTCCAGCTACAAGCTCTGCCTTTCTCTTGTCCAGAATCTCTTGCATAGCCTTCAGTCTGGATTCTCTTTCTGCTTTCTTCAAGCCCGACTCTTGCCTGATTTTTGCGTCTCTTCTTTCTCTGTACTGCTCGTAGAGACGGCCATGCTCGCGCTGATTTCCTTGATTGCTCGGACCTTCTGCTGCTGCAGTCATCTCGGCTTGACGAACAATGGATACCAAATCTTGCTCCGATGAAGCACTCCACGACCTGGACACTGCACCTCTGCTGGATTTTTCCGCACGATATTGGAAGCCAAACTGCATATTAGCAGCCGTTGCCTGAGGGGGTGGAGTGCCTTGGACTAGATCCTTGGAGCTTCTAGCCGCTGGCAGAGCCGCTTCCTGGAGTTTTAGTTGTTGAAACTTCCACTCCAGATCCTTTTGAGCCGTTACCCAAGACTTCCTTCGTTCCTCAATCCTTGGGATGCTTGATAAATCTTCCTGGCTCGTCATGGGATGCTGCTCCTGGCTAGCAGCCTGACGATGATCCGCTCCACTAGTGCCTATTTCTTTAGTTGCTGAGATGCTTGCCGGTTCACCAAAGTCTTCACCTTCCTCTTCACCAACTGTGCTGCTGTCACCGATGCTACTCCATCGTCTAAGAACTGTTTTTCCTGTTTCCACTGAACCTCTGCGTTCCCCTTTTGACGACTGCGATTCCAAAGAATCTCTTTGTTTTCGTTCAAAAAGACTTATAGCATCTTGGACGCTCAGCCGTCGATGGTTCTCCTCTTTGTTGTCCTCACTCTCCATCTCCACGACGGAATCACTTTCCTCAGTGTTGCTGTCGTTCATCGTAGCTGGTTGAGCATGTTTACCAGAACCCGGGCTTGCATAGTTGATATTTCTGATAACAACCATCCCTTGTCGTCGTGAGCCAGAACGAGCAATCTGTACTTTTCTCATCGGGGAACACGACCTCCGCTTCGGAGATGAGACTCGTCGTGGAAGTCGCCTTGATGGAGGAGTTTCTTGCTGTGACGGTGACGTGACATTTGGAGGACTATCTGGAATTGTTCTAAAACCATGAGATGCAGGAGCAGCCTTTAGCACATCATCGATTGTTTCGAGCGGCTCCGGAAAGGACTCAAACGGAGAGTTACCTTGTGCAGCCCATGTCCGGCGAGTTTTAATATTCTTATCTTCACCTGAAAAAGGTCATTTAGGCGTTCGTGTTTTGACGAGAGAATCAAACTTACCGGCATCTGCTACAATATCAACCTCTAGGTCCGAAAGTTGGCCTTTCTCCTGCATTTTCTTATATACTGTCCTGAACTTTACACATGCTTCCCTGAAAAGAGCATGGGTGATATATGAGCTTTATTCCAGTGAAGATAAATATTACCGAAATCTAGAAGCTCCAAAATATTGAGAAAAGTCAATTAGATCTGTCATGCACCCCACATAAAAACCAGCAGCCGCAGCTCGTGCAAAGGCATTAAGCTGCTCCTTATCAAGCATAATCCGCCTTGCGTCCATTGCAACCAGTAGCTGGTTTCTACAAATGAAAACAATCAGAGACAGAAAAACTCAAACAATGGAAGTTCATACTTTGAGCTGTCTCCTGCTGCATCGTCATCGATCAAGTCCTGTAAAAACCACATTCATTAAGACACAAGTGATTTTCTAAAAACAACTCTCAAGAAGTACCTGAACTTCAGTTCCAGCTGCTCCTGCAACAAAATATACAAGCTAGGATCAATTTTTTAGAGAAACAATTGCATACCTGCGCTGTGCTGCTGATCACCCTGCATGATGAGTAAACGTTTAAGTCGCAAATAAAGAGGGATGAGAAATAGACATCGCGTACCACAGCCAAAATATTGATCGCTTCTTCAAGCTGGCGCCTTTCAGTTTCGACAATACTCACTCGCTCTAGCACATCTGGCGTCGTCACAAACCTCACAAATCTGGATGGAAAAAATTCTTAGCCATGACACACACAAGGAAGAAAAGAGAAACAAATTATCTACCTTTCTATGGTGCCTTTTGTGAACCACAACGTTTGAGCATTGGATGGAACTTGAAGCGTAATGGATGTCTGGCCCAATGCAATTTGCTCCTGTGCCGCTTTCAAGTGGGAGAGAAATGGTTTGAGTGATCCAGAGGCTAGCTTTTCCGTCTCGCTCCCCGCAGCAACCCAAAGCTCGCACCTATTCATCCAAGAACGTTTTAAGAAAGCACGCTTTCCTCAATCTAGAAAAAAAAAACTACCTTGTCCGCGCTTCATCCAGCTGAAATGTCGCACAGTCTAGGCGAGCTTCCGACCTCATTGTGTGGATTCTATGCTCGCTACAGCCGCCGCGATGAGTATCCGCCAAGGCATGAACTGCATCGCACAAAACAGGCAGTGAGAATAGAATGCCGCAGCGCAATCACAGGTTTCTCGCACAGATCCACTCGCTGGCGCTCAGAAATCTAACGACAATAGCCCTATCGGAGGAGAAGCATCGAGATCACGAAATGCAGGCTCTAGATCAATCCAGCAAGCTCTTCGAATCGACACAGACCTTGAAACAGCCGCTATCGCCGCGACAGCGCCTGTCAGAGAGCTCCGCCTCGCGCGTTTTCAAGCCCTGGATGCCATAGCCAGAGAGAGCTCTGTATCATCCCCGCCGTCCTGGGTGGTTAAATCCTACGGTTCACGTTACCCCAAATAATGCCCACCATCTAGGCCGTCCAGTGGGCCAGCATCCAACGGGCGGGACAAGCGTGACCAAACACCGTTCAAGCCTGCCACGTCGAAACGTGTAAGAAAGTAAAAGATCTACTTGTCCATCGCACGGCGGCGATGGCGACACGTGGAATAAAAACCACACCACGTGGAAAGGGCCATTAAAGTAGGCAAAGATTCCTTCGATTTAAAGGCTCACCGATGATGAAACTCCAAATGTGCAATCTCCGGCTTCCTAAGGTTGGAGGTTGTATCCCTATTAAAATACTTTATTGGTGGCATAGCATGCACGTCTATTAATCTAGAAGGAATGATCCCTGGCCGCGGACGAAACGACCCACTCAGAAAATAGCATATGCCAGGTTCTTGTACGGGGTTCTAGTATCTTGCACGGAAGTTCTACCGTACAGGAGAGTTTGAATTTCAATTGAGAAGAAAGAACATGAGTAAGCTTAATCGCCCACTGGCGCCATGCCCTGTTTGAGCCTCTCCCTCTTCATTTTTTTCTTGGACACGGGCTTCTTCTTCCGGCCGGGGAGCGTCTTCTGTGCATAAATGTAGAGCGCGTAGTTTCCAACCACGAACAGCAGCACCACGCCGACCACCACCAGCAGCACCGTCAGTGTGGGATTAAATCCGCCCCGCGATCTCGTGTCCTGCGCGATCGGGCAAAGCGCAAGAAGGCATTAAACCCTAACAGAGATCTAGCGATGGATCGATCGATCGGCAGCTCTAAGCATTGCCTGCGTACCTGGTGGATCGATTCGCCAAACCCGCCCTCCGCCATGGCTTCTCCTACTTCCACACCCTGTTCCTTTTTTAGCTTGCTAACACGTCACACGAAGGCGTCCCGACCGTCCGATCGTATAAGGGGCAAGGACAGCCGTCCGATCGAGATCTGGCACGGAGAGCCCATCGTGGCTTGGACTAAGCTCCATGATCAATCCAAAACTATGATCGATATGAAATTAATTACGCAATGTTAAACCTTAATTCTCAGTAAGACTTTGCATTAGATTAGTATTGTTATTAATACTAGATTAAGCACAAGAATCTAGAGTGGGGAAAAAGGAACCATATTAAAATACAAATTTCTAGTTGGTGGCTGCTTCAAATTTTTTTGAATGCTAGGATGTGATCATCATAACTTCCACCCTCAAAGAGCATATCTCTAAAGCCATCACGAAAATTTCCATGCCACAATAAAAAAGACCATTCTTTTGTCTAGCACATCGCTTTCAAAGTGGTTTCGAGGTTCCTCAACCTTGACACCAAAGAGATGGGAGTCAAATTCGAAAGGATGCTCTGGTATATCCCGCCGAGACGTACGGTCCGTCAAGTATCTGACGGAGATGGCATATTCTATGGACGGAGTCTGTCTGGGTTCGTTAGTTTTGACGGCGCAACAACAGGAATCATTCCTTGACAATGGAAGCCAGCAAAGAGAACACACCACACACACAAACAACTCACTTCCCACCAAGCTTTTTTAGGTTTGCCACATTCTTGTTGCGCGCGATTCCTCGCGATTCTAAGTAGGGTTTGGCGGCGCCGGGGGCGCGAGCCTAGCGGAAGCATCGATTTTGATCGATCGATGATCAAGATTTTTGGAATGCTCCAGGTGAGGCCGATTCTTCTCGAGAATTCTTGCCGCGGGGAGCGATGCGGCCGAGAGCTCCAATGTAGGTGGATGGGAGCGCCTTGGATGTAGATATTTCGGGGCTGCGCGGTCTATCTAAGCTCTAGCCAGTGGATGGGAATGGATTGTTGCGCAAACGGGATTGAGGCAACGGCAGAAGGGGGTGTAGCATCGGCAGAGAAGGATCAGGTTCTCCAGGCAGTCCAGGTTGCCGTGCATATCCGCCCATTGATTTTGCAAGAACGAATCCAAGGTTGTAAGGAATGTGTTTCTCCGGTACCAAACGAACCACAGGTACTTTCTCCTCTTTCTTTTCAGCTACCACGCTTTTTTCATTCGAGGTGATTCATTCCAGGTCCAACTGGGTTCTCATGTTTTCACATTCGATCACGTCTATGGAAGCGCCGCCTCTCCGCCTTCACACATTTTTGAAGAGTGCGTAGCTCCGTTGGTTGATGGCCTCTTTCACGGGTATAATGCAACAGTTTTGGCGTATGGACAGGCAAGCGTTTCTTTTTTATTTCATGGACAAGCACCTGACGCAACGCTTTTGGCGCTAGTGTAGACTGGATCAGGCAAAACATACACGATGGGAACCGGTGGGAATGCCGAAGGAATCATCAGAAGGGTCATGGAGACACTTTTTCGGAAGATCGAGAAGCTCAAAGACAAAGCTGATTTCCAGTTGCGGGTCTCTTTTATTGAGGTAACTTGCTGTTTTTTTTTCTTTGCGCGTTTTAACTTCGCAGTTTTGTAGATACTCAAGGAGGAAATTCACGACCTCCTTGACACGAACCCTTCCCAGGCTGTCAAGCAAGAGCCATTTGTTGGTGTCTTTGGCGTCAAGCCTTGCTCACCTGGAAAGCCACCTATCCTAATTCGTGAGACTACGGGAGGAGGAATCACACTTTCCAGCGTTACTGAAATCGACGTAACTAATCTGCATGAAATGTCCTCGTGTCTAGAGCAAGGATCTGCATTTCGTGCGACGGGGAGTACTAATATGAATACACACTCAAGGTAATCACAGTACTTTGCAGTTTTTATGTTTTACTAACGTTTTTCTTTCACAGTCGTTCCCATGCCATTTTTACGATCACGATGGAGCAACGTAGAAGGCCAGACCCTTTAGTTGGCTCACCTGAGGACGACTACTTATCCGCCAAGCTGCACTTGGTGGATCTTGCAGGGTCGGAACGAGCAAAACGGACTGGAACGGATGGGTTGCGTTTCAAAGAAGGTTGGTTTTATTAGTTGCAGAGGTTTCACGTAAGGTTTAACTTTCTGTTTGCAGGTGTTCATATCAATAAGGGACTTTTAGCTCTTGGAAATGTCATCAGTGCTTTGGGAGATGATAAAAAACGTAAAGAAGGAGGGCATGTTCCTTATAGGGATAGCAAACTCACTCGTCTATTGCAGGTACTGTTGCGTAGGTTTTTTTTTATTGCGTTTTGACAAGAAAACCTGTGCAGGACTCCCTTGGTGGCAACAGCAGGACTGTTATGATAGGTATGCTTTTTAATTTTTGTTTTCTTCCAATCACACGTTTGGTCCGACGCAGCATGCGTCAGCCCTGCAGATTCTAACGCAGAAGAAACTCTCAACACTCTGAAGTATGCTAATCGGGCTCGAAATATTCAAAACAAGCCGACTGTAAGTGTTTTTAGCACATTAAAAACATGTAAAAGGAATCTTTATTGCAGGTAAATCGTGATCCAGCTGCAGCAGAACTTCTAAAATTAAGACAGCAGATTGAAATTCTACAAAATCAACTTCTTTGTGCGCAGGAGGCAAATAGTTCTGACGACCTCCAGGTTTGTCATGTCAAAGTTACAAATCTGTTTTCTTGATCTTCTTGCTTTGCAGATACTTAAACAAAAGGTCGTATGGCTCGAAGCCAGAAATGCCGAATTATGTTTGGAGCTACAACAATCTCGTGATGCTCTTGAGGCCCTTATGCAGGAAACTCATGTAGGATATTCTTCGAGTTTATAGTTGGACTAGATGTAAGAGCTTTGTTTACAGGTGCATTGTGGATCTCAGTATGAAAACCGCGAGGGTGTGACATCACAGGTAACAATTTATGCCGACAAAAAGTGTCATGTTTTGGGTCAATTTTTTCAGGCAGAAACAATTCTAGCTAATCAAGTTTCACGGATTAAAGAGCTTGAAACTGAGTTGCAGCAGCTGAAAGCTCGTGCTTCTCAACAAACTGTTCAGAGTTGCCATCCACCAATGATGAGCTGCATGAACGGGAGTGCTCCAGAAGTGGTAGACCTGGAAATTCCCAGCGATCTCTCGCCTGAGATAGATACACATGCCAAAGAATTGGAACACACTATTCTTCAGGACAGTCTGGACAAAGAGTTACAAGAATTAAACAAGAAACTTGCTCAGAAAGAGGTGATACTTTCATGTGACTAGTTGCACTAGTTCTCATGCTTGTGTATTGTTTCAGGCGGAGATGAAGTCGTTCACAAAATCTGACTCTATGGTTCTAAAGCAGCATTTCGAAAGAAAGCTGGTTGAGCTCGAAGAAGAGAAGAAGGCATTGCAGGTACGTTAATTTTGCTAGAGTCGATTTTTACTTACTCGAAACTGTAGAGGGAGAGAGATGTTTTACTTGCCGAGCTAGAAAATCTTGCTACCGCCTCTGATGAGCAAACACACAAAATGCAAGATTCATACATTCAAAAGCTTAAAGAACTCGAATATCAGGCAAGTAGATTTTTCCAACTTAGAAATAAAATATTTGCTTATGTCTTACGTTTTATCAGATAGCTGATTTGAAAAAGAAGCAAGATAATCAGTCGCAGTTGCTAAAACAAAAACAGCGCAGTGACGAGGCTGCGAGACGTTTGCATGACGAAATCCATCGAATCAAACAACAAAAGGTGTGCTCTGCTGAACTTTACTGATTCTTCTTTTACTCTTTTATTCGTCTGTTATCGTGGTGTGAAGGTGCAATTGCAACAAAAAATTAAGCAGGAATCTGAGCAGTTCCGGTTGTGGAAGGCTGCTCGTGAGAAAGAACTGTTGCAGGTAACATCTCTTTAATTTGTAATTGTCTTGTAAACAGCCTCTTGCTACAGTTACGGAAAGAAGGACGAAGAAATGAATACGAAATGCACAAATTACGGGCACTGCATCAGCATCAAAAAATGGTTTCTTTTGGTAGTTCGTAAGTTCTTCGTGAACACTGTTGTTTCAGGTTCTTCAAAGGAAGACGGAGGAAGCAGCAATTGCTACACGGCGCCTGAAGGAGGTTTTGGAGTCTCGCAAGTTATCTGGACGGGAGGCTGTTTTCTGTTACTCTAACTCGAGGCATTGGACAGGCACTTTAACAGACAATGGACACGCTTTTCAGGTCATGGTTGTGCTTCTCTCCTTTCGGCTTTTAAAACTCTCGATTTACAGGCGGATGATAAAGTCTTACACAGTTGGGTTGATCGTGAGATCGAAGTGGCCCTTCATGTTCACGAAGTTCGTGTAGCTTATGACAAGCAGAGTGAAGCGTAAGTCGAGGCTTTTATTGCTTCCAACGTGTGTTCTCAAAGTTCTTACTTTCGTAGGCGCACTGCTCTTGCTAATGAACTGTCAAAGCTAAAGGCGGAGGAAATGTATGATCGTTCATACAATGCGCAAAACGGGTATGCTACAGAAGTTTATCTTGTTTAATGTCTGATGATTTCAACTGATGCAGCAATTGTTTACCGATGCACGGGCAAATTGATTTACTTGAGAACATGTTGAATGCATCTTCAGATGCATTGGTTTCAATGGCATCAGAACTCTCTGAAGCCGAAGAGCGCGAGCTCAACGGTCATGCACGATGGCTCCATTTAAAAACTTTGGGGGAGGCCAAAGCACTGCTCAACGTAACATTCAGTGCAGCTGTGTGTGCTCGGTATGGAATTTCCCTGTCTCTGTATAAGAAGCCAACAAGTTTCTTGTGAATTCCAGGTGCGATCTTCAAGACAGGGAGACTGAGATACGGGAGTTGAAGGACAAAATCGTTGAGCTCAACGATGCCTTGAAGCTCTCCGATGCACGCAGACAGGAACTTGACAGGCAACAGCGGTTGAAAGAGCAAGCTGTTGCCGTGGCCCTTGCTGCGGCGACAAAGGTAGATAAAAAGTTTCGCGTGCACTGACACCAAGACTTACAATTTCCCGTCAGGCTGGTGCGGACGTTGCGGTGAGATGTGGAATGGAGGAGCTGTCGTTGGGTTTCTCACAACTTGCAGCCTCCGGATCCAAGCACTTGCAGTATCCTACAAACAATAGCGTCGATGGTTCGTCAGATTACGACGTCCGAAAGGTAAACACGATAGTCTTCAGTTATGAGAACCATATTCTTCAGTTATGAGAAGAACCACGTACTAAATCATAGATTGGGTTGACTTGCAGTTGGCCTCCCTCGAGCCTGGACTAATGACAAAGCAGCCAGGTTTTCAAACTGGAAAACTTTGGAAATGGAAGCAAAGTCATCAGCAGCGGTGGTCTTTCCACTTCAAGTGGAAATGGCAAAAGCCCTGGAGGCTCTCAGAATGGGTAAGGCATGGTGAGGAATCCATTGAAAGAGTGAGGCCTTCCAAAGTGGTCGGTCTGCTGGAGATGACTTGATCAATCGAGGAAGGCAGATGCTGAATGCACAAGCCTGCTTGGCAGGGTATGGGGAAAGGAGCCACAGGTTACAGATTCGATGTGAGGCATAGAGACCGGTGGAAGCGATTGCGAGTCTGAAAGGTTTGTAACTTCCGGTAAAATCTTGTGAAGTTTCTGACTACTTTGTGATTCTTCTGACAACAGGAATCGAGATGTATCAAGGATACATTGAAACATACACAATACACACAGCTACTACACACATACAACACACAAACACACAGCAAGCAACCAAGCAACTTGGACGATACATATAAAGTTTTTATACGGCGGATGTATAGCAACATATTTTTACTCGTGCCGCGTGAACTTCCCGTATTTTGTTGAGATGATTCAGAGAGCTATCCAGGTAAGCTGTTTAATCTCTTGCCTGTGTCTAGCGATGTCATTTTAATTTGCTTCCATGCGTGTGTGTTTGAAGGAAGTGAAACACATTTCGTATAAAATGCCTCTGAAATGTCAAGTTCTTATCGGTATGCTTGGTGTTTTTGAATGGACTAAGTGAATTCTTTATCAGTTCTTTGCAGAAAAATGTGATTTTTGGAGCGGCAGTTTTGAGAGAAGAAAGCATCCCAGGTATGAGAGCAATTTCTGGGCACTGGACAGACTTTCACGGAGTCCATGAAAACTTCCACTCCTAGATCGAGTTGTCCAGCCATGAAGCAGGGAGACTCGAGGTTGACGGGTTTACGTCAAGAAGAAAGCAGCAAGGTCGAGCTATAGACGTTCTACCTGTGGACAAGCTGAGCGAGTTCTTGGATAGAGAACAGGGCAGTGTCCAGGAGGTAACTTTGGCGGTCCAGTTCCAGCAGAAGTGCTTCCAGGACGATTCGGGAGAGCTGGCCCCCGCGGACGTGCACAAGATGGCTGGAGATCACTGCAGCTGAGAAGGGCGAGCTGTTCGTGTTTGGAGCAGAACGGGAAACGAAGATAAACACCTGGTTGCTCAGGCTCAAGAGTAGCGCTAGATGAAATGGTTCCTGCTAAAACCAAGCAGCTTATCATTATAAGTTTTGGTATGCTTATTGAGCTTGAACTACTCTTGCTCAGGCTCAAGAGTAGCGCTAGGTGGTTGTTATGAAATAGTTCCTGCTAAAACCAAGCAGCTTATCATTATAGAGAATAGACTCCGATTCGATGCCGAGGGCTTCGATTTAAGGCACAGTGATCGACCTCGCATTCCAGAAATAAGTTTTGGTATGCTTTATTCAGCTTGAACAATCAAGCAAGAAATGCTTAAAAATGCTTGAAATCGAAGATCCAATCCCGGCGCCTTTGAAATGATTTACTGGCAGCTTTAACAATCCAGCAAGAAATGCTTAAAAAGTTCAAACGTGCGCCATGGACACATTGGCTAATGATATTGTTTAAGGCATCCTGAAAATTTTAAATATCAGAATTTGGAGGGAAATGTTTGGAATCTACCTGCTGTTGCCGTCCCAATGTGCCTGGATCACCATCCGGAACTGGCTATGAGGCAATTGCCCCAAGTCAAGGCTGAAATCAGAGAATCCGCCATTGCAAATCCTTGTTGATATTGCTGGACAGAATAGCCTGGATTGGGATTTCCAAAACACTCAGCCCCATTCACTATCACAACTCCCCCACAAACAACAAGAGCTAAAAAGAAGAACAACTTGCAAGCCATTTTGTGCAAAATCTATGAGTGCTCTACCCAGCATTGCAATTCCAGTATGTATATATGCATCAAGTGCACAATCACGGCACGACTCTTTTGATTGGACAGAGAGATGCGAATGGTTAATTCCGCAGGGGTACAATTTGAAACGAGGATTTCAGCTTTGGATATGTCAACTTGAAAGAAGAATTTCAGATTAACTTAATTCAATTTAAAATGGCAAAAATACATCTTAGAAATATACTTAAATATTCTAGCATATTATATTCATTAACAAAATAAATTTGGCTTAAAAAGTAATTGTAATAATAATACTAATAATATAAATATATATTAGGACTAAGCTAATGGAAGGCGAGCAACCTTGGCAATCCCGGACAGTTCACCATGTTGGATCTCGCATCACACTTTACGAGCCAATGCAATCGAAACCCATGCCGCAAAGATTGAGCTCCAGATGACAACAGAGGTGAAAGTTTCCAGCTTCTCGGCAGCTTGTTTTCATGGTGGTACTTTCAATCTAGGAGAGAATGGACTTTGTTGCTATGATTCTAAGCCAGTAACGCCGATGGTGGTGGTGGCGTTTCACTCGGAATTTCCCGGAAGAACAGCAACCATCCTGTACTTTGAGAGACTGACTACAGTGGAAGTTTGACTCAGCGTTAAATCGTTATCAAAGTGCGCTAAAAACGTTTTTGTTCCGGGTGTGCGTGCGTGCAGGATGTGACGGAGTTCCATTGTTTGTCTCTCGCTTTTTGCGTTCTGAGTTCTTCCAACGACTAGAGATCTAGCACAAGCGTCGTGTGCGAAAGAATAAGACACCAGCAACGAGGGAGCCATTCGACGAGAAGCCCAGAACGGACATAGCTAGACAGCACTAGATCTGTACCAACAAGGCGCGAATGTGGAGGAGAACGAGGTAACATACATTGTGTTGCTTGGAGCTTGTGGCGAGCTTGGAGATCTTGCCTGGGGAATGGAGCTCCATGCCAGGATCGTGGTTCTTGAACATTACTTCAAGATGACCATGCTGCTATTACTTCATTATTAAAGTGAAAGAACTTAATTGGTCGTACTGCTCAACTATTATAAATGTATATAGTGACGGCATCAACTGAAATCTACTAGAGATTTGAAACAACGAGCCCAGTTTGCTCGCTCAAAATTGAGCATAAAGTCAAGGACAGTCAGTGAAAGTCAATCAAATCTAAGAAAGTCTTCAAAGACTGTGCTGACTTTGGCGAACCCATGGTACGGAATGCACGAACAGGAATCGGCATTTGCGAACTTCTTCCATCGCTCAAATGGAGGATCTGGGCCGCGATCGCTGTTTATTTGCTCGGTTGCACCTCTTGATTGTGCAAGAGGTGGTCATCGAGATTTGTGGAAGCTGGGATTCGCATGCCCAAAACAGTGCCATTGCCTTATCTCCAAGTTTGCAAAGGTCTGAGCACTTCTCTCTTAAAATCCCTTTACTGGACTTGGCTTCCAGGAAGAATCAGTGGACATAGCATATATGCGAAATTTTTGTAATCGTACATGACTAAAAAAAAACAATCTTCGTTGTCAACACTCTGTGTGAGCGTTTTTGCGTGGCTTATGCTCCAGCTCCAGATCTCGATACACAATGACCCAAAAGATACTGGGGCAAAGATCCGAGTGGAAAGGCAAAATGGTTTAGTTTCGTCCCTTCATTTTCTGGTTTGTCATTACAGTAAGCTGAGAAACCCTAGTGGCGCTTGGAGCTATGGTGTGGCAGCACAAGACTGTCCACTTGGTATGTAAGAAATTTAGATGTTCCACTCCAGTTGTGCCATGCTCGAGGCTACCACAATCTTCCAGCTGACGAGGTACACCATTGCGTCAGCCAAGTTGACCATTGTGACTTTTGGTTATCATAGCTTTGTCTCTTATGTGTGAATAAGAGCCTGGCAATGCCCAGGCGTACAGCCAACAGTGGCTGGCATTTTAGAATCGTTGCTTTTTCTTTCTTCTTGTTTTTGCATGGTATCGGAGCTAGGCTAGCTCTCACTTTGATGGCACTATTGTTCACCTTGTCTTTAGAAGTG